AAGCATTTGGCTCCATGGGAGTTTCAGCCGGTTTTGCACCTGACAGTCCTGTTTCATCCAGCAGATCAAGAACATATTTTCTTTGGCACAGGTTTACACCTTGTTTTGATCTAGCAACTTCTATACCCAAGAAATACTTCGATGTCCCAAAGTCTTTTATTTGAAAATTGTTTTGCAAAAAGACCTTTAGTTTATCGATCCCAACTTGTCACTACCAGGTATGACAATATCATCCACATAGACCACTAATAAAATCTTTCCGACTTCTGAATCATAGTTGAACATTGAGTGGTCAACTTGGCATTATTACATTCCAAAATTCTTCACCATTTCACTAAACTTCCCAAACCAAGCACGAGGCGATTGTTTCAACCCATAAATTGCCTTTTCCAATCTGCACACCTTACCATCTTCCCCCTGAGCAACAAACCCAGGTGGTTGCTCCATATATACCTCCTCCATAAGGTCACCATGAAGAAAGGCATTTTTAATGTCAAGTTGAAACAAGGGCCAATCATACATAACTGCCAAGGAAATTAAGACACGGACAGAGTCAATCTTAGCCACTGCAGAGAAGGTCTCAATATAGTCTACCCCATACAACTATGAATAACCTCTAGCAACTCTGACCTTCAAACACTCCACACTACCATCCGGCAATTATTTAACAGTATACACCCATTTACAACCCACAACATGCTTACCAGGAGGAAGAGTAGTGAACTCCCACGTTTGAGTATGCTGAAGGGCAGAGAGTTCCTCCTCCATTGCCTGCCACCACCCAGGTGAGCTAAGAGCCTCTTGGACATTCTTAGGTATAGAAATAGATGACAACAGTGAAACAAACTAGCGATGTGAAGCGGAAAGGCAAGAGACTGAAACAAAATTGGAAATGGGATGGAGGGTACAACTACATTTACCTTTCCGTAAAGCAATGGGAAGATCAAGTCCTGAAGGTTCTCGGACAAGAGCAACAACAGGATCCATAGACAAGATAGAAGTTGGAGGAGCCGGTGTCTGTCGATGAGTATACACGTGCCGGATCGGTGGTCATTTAGTAGGGATCTGCACTGGAGGAGGTGAAGGGTTAACCCCAACTGGAACAACCGGAACGGGATCACGAACTGGAAGAGGAAGAGGAAGCAAAGGTGGAGACACCAATGCTTCAGGTCCTCTGAGAAGAAGGGGACAGACTCAAAAAATGTGACATCAAGACAGACATGGCACTTTCGAGTAATGGGATTGTAACACTTATACCCTTTTTGAGTCCGAGAGTAGCCAAGAAAGACACACTTAATAGAGTGTGCATCCAACTTGTCTATCCCAGGACTCAGATTGTGAACAAAGCACACACAGCCAAAGATGCGGGGTGTTAATGGAAAGGGAGACAAGGTGGGGAACAAAATAGAAAAGGGAGACCGACCATGAAAAATGAAGGAGGGCACCCGATTAATAAGGAAACGCGCAATAAGTACAGCATCACTCCAAAATCATTTAGGAACACTCATATGATGAAGAATAAACCGAGCAGTTTCAAGGAGAAGACGGTTCTTTCGTTCAGCCACCCCATTTTATTGAGGAGTGGATGCACATAAAGTTTGATGAATGATGCCATGTTGTTCTAAATACTGTTGAAAGGAAGTAAGAAAGTATTCACAACTGTTATCTGAATGAAGAACTTTGATTGGAACACCAAATTGTGTATGTATTTCAACATGAAATTTTTGAAAAATGAAAAATAATTCACTCATTTCTTTCATTAAATAAATCCATGTCATCATTGAACAATCATCAATAAAAGTGACAAAATACTTGTAACCATTATAAGACTCTATTTTRATYGKRCCCCAAACATCTGAATGAACCAAAGCAAAATGACTCAACATACGACTATCAACTCTAGGGCTGAAGGGAACCCGACGATGTTTCCCATACTAACACGACTCACACTGTAAAGACAACAAATGACTCAAAGACGGAACCAGTATCTTGAGTGCCTTGAGAGATGGATGTCCCAATCGACAATGCCACTGTAGAGGAGTGAGTGAAGTCTGAAGTGCAACTAACAATCCACCACCGTCAAGGTAATACAATCCACCAGCCTCATGCCCCCCACCAATCTTCTTCCCCGTCTTGGGGAAAAATGTAATAGATCAATTAAGAGTCTTGGTTAATTTGCTAACAGACATAAAATTGAATGAAAACTTAAAGACATATAGAACAGATGATAAAGAAAGAGAAGTTGTGTCAACATTACCAACACCACAGATGGAAGAAGAGGAACCGTTAGCAAGGGTAACAGTTTGAGATGTGGAAGTTTCAGAGAGCAAGGGTAACAGTTTGAGATGTGGAAGTTTCAGAGAGAGAAGAGAACACACCTGGAGTCCCGGTCATGTGATCAAAGGCTCTAGAGTCAATAATTCAGGGAGAGGGTTTGGATGCCAGACAAGCTATACCTGAGTGGGCAAGGGTGGTTGTAGTATGATGTGAAGTAGCTTGGAGGAACCTCTCATACTCATCGCGCGGTACACTCACTATCTCCTTCCCGGAAACAGATGTAGATGTGGAAGGTGTTAGATCTGCCTGTTGGTTATCACTGACATCAACCCCACCAGCTACTGCATGATTAGCCCATGTAGAAGGA